GACAGCAGGCATCTACTGTGAAAGGTGTGTGTTGACTTATAAACCAAGCTAATGTCCAAGCATGCCCACCTGAAAAGAAAAGGGGTTGTTTGGTTGGTTGGGCTGCATCAGAATGTTGCATAGCACTGAACCTAAAGCACCTCCCAGCCAGGCCCACTAGGAACGGCCGAATTAGCCGTTACCAGCGAGCTAGGCTCGAGTGGTGCAGGGGATGAGTGCACGGCGCTGACCTCCCCGAAAAAATAGCGGGAGGAATTGGCGTCACCTCCTCCCGAACCGATCGCCCTATATAGTCAGCCTCACCATCCCCCCTCCCAAAAAAAATCCCGCCACCATTCCTCCCTATCGAGCTTTCCCTCCGCCACGGATTGATAATGACGACCAGGTAAGCGACCCTCCTGCTCCGACCATCGGTTGACAGCGGCGACGATTCTAGTCCTCCTCTTCTCCGACCCGCACCTCCTTTGAGTTGCTCAGAGCATCCATAATGTGTATTTTTCACTGCTGAAAGATCGAGGATGTCGCCTAGAGGGGGGGGTGAATATGCGCTTTAAAATAATTATGGTTTAGACTTGAACAAATGCAGAATCAACCTAGCGGTTAATTTGTCAAGCACAAAACCTAAAACGACTAGGCTCACCTATGTGCACTAACAACTTATGCTAAGCAAGATAAACAACTATGTGATAGCAAGGTATATGACAATGAACAATATGGCTATCACAAAGTAAAGTGCATAGGTAAAGAGCTCGGGTAAGACATAACCGAGGCACGCGGAGACGACGATGTATCCCGAAGTTCACACCCTTGCGGATGCTAATCTCCGTTTGAAGCGGTGTGGAGGCACAATGCTCCCCAAGAAGCCACTAGGGCCACCGTAATCTCCTCACGCCCTCGCACAATGCAAGATGTCGTGATTCCACTAAGGGACCCTTGAGGGCGGTCACCGAACCTGTACAAATGGCAACCCTTGGGGCGGTCACCGAACATGTATCACTGGGGAGAACTCAAACCATGCACAAATGCAATGGCAAGGGCACACCGAGTGCCCAAGTCCTTCTCTCTCAAATCCCACCAAAACAACTAATGCTAGGGAGGAAACTAAGAGGAAGAACAAAAAGGGGAACACTAGAAACTCCAAGATCTAGATCCAAGGGGTTCCCCTCACATAGAGGAGAAAGTGATTGGTGGAAGTGTGGATCTAGATCTCCTCTCTCTTTTCCCTCAAAAACTAGCAAGAATCCATGGAGGGATTGAGAGTTAGCAAGCTCGAAGAAGGTCAACAATGAGGGAAGAACACGAGCTCAAAAGATTAGACTGAATGGGGAAGAAGGCCCCCTTTTATAGGAGCTCCCGAATCCAACCGTTATGTGCTCAGTCCGCGCATGAGCGGTACTACCGCTCAGGGGAGCGGTACTACCGCCCGGGTGGTAGAACACAGAGAGCGGAGCAAAACAGAGGGCGAGGAAGAGCCGTATGAATGGCACTACCGCTGGAGCCAGCGGTACTGCCGCTTGGCCCAGCGGTACTACCGCTGGGATCGCGCACAACGCCTACCACGAGCACAGTGATAAGGGACAGAGAGGAGGACCATTGAGCGGCACTACGGGTGATGGTAGCCGCGGTACTACCGCACACGAGCGGTACTACCTCTCCTACTGCCGCTACTACTGCCGCTGAACCCAACATGAGAAAACCACATTTCGAGTCGAGGCGGTACAAGCGCGAAACCGGAGCCGTACTACCGCTTATGGCCATGGGCGGTACTACGGCTGTGAGACAGCACTACTATTGGTTGTGGCGATATGCGGTACTGCCGCTCCGGCCCAGTGGTACTACCTCTGGCGCCATCCTTAGGCCACTTCCACGAAAACAAGTACAACCCAAGGAAAACCAGAACTGCCACAACTTCTGCAAAAGAGCTCCGAAAAGAGCAAACTCAAGCTTGTTGGATACAAGACGACGAGGAGCATCCAACAACAACTGGTTATAGAAAGAAGTGGCAGGGGAGGTATGCCTAACAAATAGAGGAGAGAAACCTCCAACAGAGAAGAACCGGCATAACCTCCAACATCGAAAAATCATAGAAGATGCATGTGAACTCCGTTTTTGATGAACTCGAGCTTGTCATCAAGATGACAAAAAGCTCTAAGACTCACAAAGAGAGCCAAAAATAAGAACCAAGAAAGTTGATGCAAGGATGCAATGGTTTGATGAAGACTAGTTGATTGCTCCCCCATACCCCACTATGGGTGAGCCACTCTTCCGCACATCTTCACAAGTCCATTGTCACCACAATGGATGGCAAGCTTCAAGCATTCGATCTCTTTGTGTTGCTCCACTTGAACTTGCACACCACAACCATACCATGGGATCACTTGATCCCTCGGTACATCTTGTACGCTTTGCGTGTTGATCAACTTGGTTCACTCTTGACTTAGTCTTGATCAACCTTGATTCTTTCCAACTCTCTTCATTTGGATGATGTCTAGAAGGTAAACATGAATGATCACACAATCTTCTTCTTCAAGGCATGCTTGCAATAAGCTCAACTCTCACATGACCAATCTTTGGATAATTCCTTAATAGCACCTTGGTCACCACATAAACTCCTTGAAACCAACACATGGACTTCAAGAAATGCCTATGGACAAATCCTTCAAATATAACTCAAGGCAACCATTAGTCCATAGAGATTGTCATTAATTACCAAAACCAAACATGAGGGTACCGCATGTTCTTTCAACTGCCTCTAAGCACTCTCTCTCATCTTAGAGGTGGCCTCCATACAGTACGTTGCATGCCTCTAAGAAAAAAATTGCTAGCGTCGCCTCTTAGCTTGGAGGCTGCCTCTTTCTATTTAAATAATCAAGCAACCCCACTTGTCAGCCTGTTTGTGCTCCCCACAATGCATGTGATGCGCCGAAGGTCTCCTCCATGCAGGTTACCATGCCTTTGTTTAATGAACCATGGACCCACAATAGAGGCTAAAGCAAAATGATATACAGTACGTGGTTTTGAGATATGTTTGGAGACAGGGTTGTGGGGTCCATCTTAGAGGCAAGCTAGCCTCTAAGCACTGTGGATGCCCTCACATGGCGTCTGTGAGTTCAACCACCCACTTCTTTGTACTCATTCTAGGTAGATCTATGAGCATGTGGTAGGGTTAGATCCATCTTTCAAGAATTCGTCCGATTAATCAGTTACGAGCCAGTTAATCGCTACTCATAGGGTGGCCGGCTCAAATAACACCTTTTCGGTGTGTTAACTTGCGAGACCGATTAACTAGCCGGTTGCTAGGCCCATTAATCACTTCTGACCCATCAACTAGGGGGCAAACAAAGCCCAATTTTTTTGTCCATAACCCATCCCACTCCTCCCGCTCCTCAATATCTAGGTTTGGCCCTACCCCGACCTAGCTAGCAGCTCGCCAGGTCCTCATCGGCGCCAACTAGTGTGCTACATCTCCAAGGTCCAGCAGCTCCACTGCTCTGGTCGCCTGCCTGGTACCCATCCCATCTCGTAGGCTATAGCCCATCCTCTCCCGTGGGCTACCCCCCATCTCCTGACCCGTCAGCTGCTCCCCAACCCCTCCTGGCAGCTGCTCCCCAAACTCTTCCTCCATGGCATCACTAGCGAGCAAGGTACTACACCCTTCATCCTCTCACCAAGTGGAGAATCCAACATCCATAGATTAGTAGATTACATATTACAAATTTATAGATTAGCATATGGAACTGTTGGTTTGGGTTGTTATTGGTAGCATATTGTGTGACTATATGTGGACAAGTTTAAATGTTTAATTGATGATTACGAATTTTGTGATTTTGTAGGTTTGATCCATCAAGGTTATCAAGTTTACCTCTTGTTTATGTTTTTTAATATGCCTACAGTAGAATATTTTGGTATATTACATAGTTGGGAGAATTGAAATATGGTATAATACAACGAAAAACTAGATACATGTTGGCATGTTCCTATTTAATCTACCAATTGATATAGTTAATAGGCCGATTCATGGATTAATCGCTACTCTCAAACTGGCCGAGTAGCTACCAGTTACCGATTTTCCGAACATTGGTTAGATTTGTGTCCATGTTGTAGCATTGTACACCACGGACCTGTGTGAATGTGATGTTCTGGTACCTAGTGGTGATGGATTTGAAGCATGCTAGGAGTTGTTTCCATGTCAGCAAGGACTGATAGCTAGTGGTGATGGATTGGTAGTATGTTTGATGTGTAGTATGCTAGTATGCAACTATGCATGCTATTTTGTTGAACTCTTTGCTATGATTTGAGCTGCTATGCTGAAT